ATTCTGAGCCAAAACCACCTTCCCCCTTTAATTATCTCAGGTATTTTGTCACAGTAACAAAAGCTGACTAGCTCAGGATCATTAGGAAGGAGACCATTAATAACATATACTAGAATGTAACATATACTAAGAATATGGAACACTCTTAAGTAGTGATGCTAAGAATAAAGGGAATCTTAAAAATAAACTCTTAAGGAAAAGAATTTCAGTGCTGATTTTAAATGATCAAAACCTGATGGGAGTATTCTCTCGTAGGGCAACTCCAGAAAAGTCAAGGCGGCACTCTGAGATTTTGTCAATCAGTTTAATGTATGTCCATTGGTAGTTCATATGAATGCTTAAATTACAAAATTAGCTGCCATGGTCCAAATGTGTGGGACTTTAAGAAGCCTGTATTACTCAAAAAAAGAGCTAAGCATATCAACTCTGATTTCTAAAATGTATTTTAAAGGTTTGTAAAACAACCCTAATTCTAGAATTATACTGCTTTAATTAAATTTTGTGTTATTTTTGTCATTATAATAATTTAAATTCATGAACTGTTAAAAATGATTACATCTGCATCTTCCAGTTTACATATTTCAGTTTTAACCTAGAGAAAACGCATGTGGAAAGTTCCCATGCAGCTACAAAGACAGCAGCACATGCTGTTTTCACAGCATCGCATTGCTATTGCCCCAGAACAAACTTGCACATAAAACAACGAAGAAAACCCCACCACCCCACACCCACTAAAAAGCCCAACGCCTTCAAATCCCACAAAAACCACCTGGTACAAGCGGTAATCTAAAAAATGCTTTCTTAGTAAGAAGCATTTATAAAATGCAAAGATTTGAACAAGACAAATGCTTGTGCAGTTAGATGGGCCTCTCCCCCAAGAGTTTCTTCCTCAAAAGGCAGAAACAGCTCTCAACAGTTTAGGAAAGCTCACTTTTTTGGGTTTATGCCTGATTATGGCTATCTCATTGAAAGACCATACCTAGCCTCAACAGTAGAAGAGAGAAAAGTAGAGGGAGAAGCAAAGGTACACGGCCTTAACACAGAGAACACAGCTTCTCCATGAGCACTCAGTAAGATGCAGCAACCGAGAAAAAATGTGACCGCACACAGACCAGTGATCTGACTGCTGAGCTGGGCAAAGCAGTGAATTTTTCATGCATTTGTTGCTCAAGAAAAATAAACATAGTGGTTACTTAGCAGACAGCATTCACAGTCATTAGCTCCTGCTGTCAGGTAAGAAGAAAAGCGCTCCTCCACTCCCTGTCCCTGCTTTTCCATGCACACTCCATGTCCTAACAGCTGCAGACTTCCTATAATACTGTCACTGCCCCCCCACCCATGAAATATATAGTTTTGAGTCCCTGAAATTTCATCACCCATAGTGTTATTTTACTTTTGCACAAGTGTAATGTAGACACAGAAGAAAACACCAAGCAATGTTTATTGTGCAATTCCAATAATTATTTGTGGAATCTCGGTTTAAGAGTCCATTGCCATAGCTGTTCCAAATGCCTAGTTTAAACAAAAAGCAACTACCTAATTATCTACCCATAAATTTCATATTTCTCAAACACTAAAGTACTAAAAGCACTGTTCACTCATGTTATAATTTAAAATATTTTAAAACTACACATTTTATATATCACTTTTATAAAATAATCAAAATAATTTGATTATCTAGAAGAAAATTATGGAAATAGAGCCCTTTCAATGTATGCACAACCTCTGTAAAACTTCCAACCAACAGCAGAATAGATGATGAAATATGACTTCCCAGTTACCAAGAGTGTCTGAAATTTAAGAGGAGATGGACTCAGATTTTTTGTTTTCCATAAACTCAGAGTTCACAGGTGGCATAAGACTCAGATCTCTGGGATTTTTCTACATGGCTTTCACTTTGATTTGTTTCATTTTCATTTGCTTTTTCTCCAGCTTCTTTTGCTCACGCCTCAAAGCAGCTTCCTGGGGGACAGGGAAAGACACAGAACATCTAAAGTAAGTCATAAGCACACATTAAAAAAAGAAAATCAAAAGCAGGATATTGCCTGTATTATTATTTGAATAATTAGGCTCACTGCATAAACAGTTTTGAAAGTAGCTATAAAATTAATTGCTAGTACCTACACTTGTGAATGAAAATTACATTAGCTCCAAACAAAGAGCTCAATTTATTTATTTTTTATTTTTTTGTCTTTTTTGAGACAGGGTCTCGCTATGCAGTTCAGGCCCGCCTTGAGCTCACTTTGTAGCCCAGGCTGGTCTCGAACTCACAACAATCCTCCTGCCTCAGCCTCCCAAGTGCTGGGATTACAGGCGTGTTCCACCATGCCTGGCGAAGAGCTCAATTTAGACAGAAACTAATCACTGTATTTAGCCAGGCTCTGTAATTCTGTTTTGAATTTTCTTATACCAAGGAAATACTGACTCAGCATTCATCATACTATTTATATAAGTAGGATAAGGGTTTGTACTTCAAGTTCAGAAAACCTTAAGAATCTCGTTTGATTATACCATTCACTATAAATCTCTTTATATTAGTAGAGACAAGCATACCTGAGCACAGTACTTTAATACAGAAAGTTGAACTGGGAATTTTTATTGTATTTTTCTTTAGGAATTAGGTTACATAGAAGAGGAAGACACTTCAGGCTGTTATCAGCCGTGACAAATGGTTGACAGTCATGAGTGGAACATAATTAAAACTTCTTTTAGAAACAATCTCAAACTTCTTTTTTTTTTGGTACCAGGAACCGAACTCACGATCTCTCGCTTGCCAGGCAGGCACTTGCACCACTGAGCTATACTCCCAGCCCAAACTTCACTTTTTTCTAAAGGAAATCTGGTTAGAAATAACCTGGTAAATATACTGAACTGGTATAGGAAATTTATAGCTGTGAATGCCCACATTGCAAAAACAGTGAGTGAAAATAACTTGACAATGCACCTCAAGAAAAACAGAAGCAATGCAAATCCAAAACCAGTCCAAAAAAGGACATTAAAAAGATCAGAGCAAGCCGGGTGTGGTGGCACACGCCTATAATCCCAGCACTCGGGAGGCCAGCCTGGGCTACAAAGTGGGCTCAAAGCCAGCCTGAACTGCATAGCGAGACCCTGTCTCAAAAAGACCAAAAAAAAAAAAAAAAGATCAAAGCAGAAACCACTGAGATTGAGACAAAAAAAGTACAAAGAATCAATGAATCAGAGCCAGTTCTTTGAAAGAATAAACAAAATAGACAAATCCTTAGCCAATATAACCAAAAAAAAAAAAGAGAGAGAGAGAGAGGAAAGTCTCAAATGCAACAAGAAGTACAAAAGTTAGCTGGGCATGGTGGTGCACACCTCTAATCCTAAGACTTGGGAGGCTGAGGCAGGATTGCAATGAGTTCTAGGCCAGCCTGGGCTCTGTATGGGTTCAAGGCCAGTCTAAACTACATAGTCAGACCTTGTCTCAAAAAGACAAAAAAAAAAAGAAAAAAAATCACAACAGACACTGCTGAAATACAAAAGATGATTACTGACATCTTTACAAACCTCTGCACCAAGAACTGTAGGATTAAAAAAAAAAAAAAGGAAAAATTACTAGATACAAATGCATTACCAAAACTTAAGATTTAAAAACTCAGACAATATAGTAACAAGCAATGAAACAGATGAAGTAATAAAAAAACCTATCAAATAAGAAAAGGCCAGGTCCTGATAGATTCACTGCTCAATTCTACAAAAGCTTCAAAAAAGATTTAATACCAGTACTCCTCAAGCTCTTTAATGAAACTGAAAGAGGAGTACTCCCAGAGCCTTTCCTGGAAGCCATCATTATCCTGATTCCAAAACCAGCAAGGATCCAACCAAAACAGAGAACTACATACTAATCCCTTTTATGAATAAGGTACTGGCAAACAGAATACAATAAATCATCAAAAAGATTATAGATCATGACAAAGTAGGCTTCATCCCAGAGATGCACTCATGGTTCAAAACATGCAAATCAGTAAATACTGGATCATCATATAAACAGGAGCAAAGACAAAAATCATATAATCATCTCAATTGATGCAAAAAAAGCCTTTGACAAAATCTAATATCCTTTTCATGATAAAAACATTGAAGAAAATAGATACAAAAGGATCTATTCTCAATCTGATAATGATCTTAAAATTCACATGGAACCAGAAGAAATGCAGAATAGCAAAAGCAATCCCGGGTAACAAGAACATCATGATCCCTCACTTAAGGCTGTATTACAAAGCTACAGTAATAAAAACAGCATAGTACTAGCACAAAACCAACACAAGTACCAGTGGAACAGAACAGATGCAGAAACAACACCAAGCACATTCAACTATTTGATTTTAGATAAAGGGGCCAGAAACATACATCGGAGGGACGATAGCCTCTTTAATCAACGGTGTTGAGACAACGGGCTATCCTCATACGCAAGACTGAGTCTGGACCTGTACATCTCACCATGTATTAAAACTAAAAGCAAATGAATCAGAGAACTAAATGGTAAAACCAAGACACTTAACCTGTTGGATGATTAAAAAAAAGGTAAAACTTTTGAAATCATGGATGTAGGCAAGAATTTTCTCAACAGAACCCCCATCAAATCAAATCAAATCAAATCAAATTAAATCAAATCAAATCAAAAAGCTTCTGCACAGCTAAAGAGATCATCACCTGAGTGAAAGATAACCTACAGAATGAGAAAAAAATTTTGGCAGTTATTCCTCAGACATAGGATCCATATAAAGAACTTCAAAAAATTAGATGCCCCTACAAATAAAAGACCCAGTCATAAAATTGGACAGTGAAATGAACAGATCCTTCACAGAAGTATAAACAGCCAATAAATGCATGAAAAAACGCTCAACATGCTGGCCATTAGAGAAAGGCAAATTAAAACAACACTGAGATTCTACCTTACTCTAGATTTCCATCAAGAAATCAAATAACAGTGAATGTTGGTGAGGCTGCAGGAAAAAAGGAACCCTTCTACACTATGAAAATCAGCATGGAGATTCATCAAAAAACTAAAAACTAGAAATTCCACTTGACCCAGCTATTCCCTTTCTAGATATCTTCCTGAAAGAGTTAAAGACATCCTTTTACAGCGATACATGCATCCTCTGATGTACAGTAGCACAATTTATACTAGCTAAATCTTGGAAGCAGCCTGTATGTCCATCAACAGATACACGGGTAAAGAAAATATATTTACACACGGTGAAGTACTGTTCTGTCATAAAGATAAACTTAGAGTCATTTGTCGGGGCTGAGGATTTAGCTCAGCAGCAAAGCGCCTGCCTGGCAAGCGCAAGGTCGTGAGTTTGGTTCCTGGTACCAGAGAAAAACCAAAAAAAAAAAAAAAGATAAACTTAGAGTCATTTGTAAGAATGATTTGTAAGAATGGAGGCACCTTGAGTGAAATACGTGTTCAGTGAAATAAATCAGACACACAAGCTTAAATATCACACGCTTTTTATGAGAAACCTAAAATATAAAGATCAAAGAGATGGAAAATAGAAGTAGGGAGACAGAACTCTCTCAAATGGGAAGGGATCAAGAAATGCAGGGGGGAGGGGATGAATAAAAGGAATTAATATGTGTCATGTACCCATACTAGCTCCACACAAGGAATGTAAACATTATGGACTGCACACGTGTACTAACAAAAAGGCGGGGCAAGGTTCAGAAATGAAAAAAAAAGAAAGTTCAACTTACTGAGACCCTACTTTGCAAATGAAAACAAAACAAAAAAAAAGGAGCTAGGGATGCAGATTAATGAGAAGCCTCTGGGTTCAATCCCCAGTACCACAAAAACAAACAAAACAAAAAGCCACATAAAAATATTAAATTCTCTAATTAAATCTTCTTTTTTCTTTTGATTTTTTGAGACAGGGTCTTGCTGTATAACTCAGGCCGCCCCTGACCTAACTATAGAGCCCAGGCTGGCCTCAACCCACGACAATCCTCCTGCCTCAGCCTCCCGAGTGGTGGGATTACAGGCCTAGGATTATAGGCATGCACCACCACACCCTGTTCTATTTACTATGTTTGGCTTAAAATGGGATTGTGCTGGTAGAAAAGGCTAATTCAAATCATTCTGCAGTTCACAAACCATCTAGCATGGTTTAAAGAGTAAAAAAAAATCACTTTTTCTTTGTAGTACTTCAACTGACAAAATGTTCTAAATGCTGAGAAATTAGTAAACTTTAGTTTGTGTAAATTTATACACACAATCACTGCTGCTAGCCAGTGAAAATCTTAGTGTCATTCCAATGATAAGGAGACTGTCTTACTTCCAGCCTGCGCTGTTTCTCAGGATCTTCTTCATTCATGATTCGCTCCTTCTCCGCTCTTTTCTTCTCCTCCCGACGGGACTGTGCAGCTTCCTGTCTCTGCACATGCGTCAGTTTCAGGAAGTTCTCTTCCACCCGTGCTCGGTTCTTATCTGCTTTTTGTTTGCCCTTTCCCCAAGAAATAGCCTTTCATTAGAAATCCATTTCTATCTAACACAAGTAAAATCTCACTTAGCATTCTTTCATGAAACTGCTTCCCTCTGGCTTTTCAAGTCAGCTAGCAAGGATTCAGTGAAATCACTGATCGCTGCTCCCGACCCCACCCCCAGCCCCCTCCCCCCACCACCAAAAAAGAACAGTAAAAGCTGCCAGCTTTTAATAAAGGCTTTGGATCTTACTTCTCTGTTGAGTCGGAACTTTTTGGCTTTATCAATAGAATAAATCACCATGTTCATCAGGGGGAGCAAAGCCTCCATGTCCTTTGGGTAAGTGTTACCTGAGCCAGGCACTGGAAAGAAAGCCATTTTTCTGTTGAGTTAACGGGATCATTAATGTTCTCAGCAAACAAACTCTTTTTTTTTCTTCTTGTGTTGTTAGACTCCTTTCTCCAAGTTTTTTGGGCAAGTAAGATGCAGCAAAAAATAGAAATTAAAGTATATAAAAGGTTTTATTATTTTTTGCATGGGGCCTCATGCATACTAGGTAAGTGATCTGTTGAGTTATATCCACAGCCCAACAGTTTCCTTTTTTTTTTTTTTCTTCTTTTTTTTCTGGTTTTGTTTTTTCAGATAGGGTCTTGCTATGTAGTTCAGGCTGGGTTTGAACTATGGCTAGCCTCAAACTTGTGATCCTCCTGCCTCAGCCTCCCAGGTGCTGGGGTTACAGGCATGTGCCACCACACCTGGTCCAACAGTCACTTTCTTGAAGAAATCCAAAAATCAATAAACAGGCAAACAAGGTTTCTGTTTTGTTTTGCAGAATTAGGACTTGACCTCAGGGCCTTGTACGTGCTAGACAAACACTCTACCACTGAGCTACACCCCAAACCCATAGTTTTAATGTAGTTTTACAGCTATCACTTGGGAAGGAACAACATCCTCCTTCAGATCATCTCACAGAAAACTAAGAACTCAAACAGGACCCAGAACACTTACCATTAAATGTAAACAATAATGTCCGCTTAGTGTCAGGTAGCTTCAAAGGCTGACCTTCCCTGTCGTAAAGAAAAATCTATTAAGGGAGAGCGTAAGAAAGACGTTCTCCATGCATGCAAGTCACCCAGTTCACTTAGACGGACAGATACTTTCAAGTAATCAATACAGCATGTGCCCTGGCATCAAGTGCAAACTCAGCCTGAGGGGGTTTTAAGGCCACCTGGTCCACTCGTCTATCTGATGGACATCTTCCCAAGTGACCTTTATCCTATACTTGAACACCTCCAATGATGTTCCCTATAGGAAGGGACTGTCCGTTATCACCTTGAGAGCCAGAAATGGGCCTAGATAGGGTTTTTTCTCAGTACTAAGGATTTAATCCAGAGCCTTCATATAGAATTATATCCCTAGACCTTTTAAACTTTTATTGTGAGATAGGGGCTCCCTAAGTCATTGTATTTCAAAGGATGGGCTTGAACTTGTGATCTTCCTGCCTCAGCATCCCAGAGCACTGGGATCCCAGGTGTGAACCACTACAGTTGGTGAAAGCATCATAATGTTGAAGTAGGATCAGAATTAATTTAGGGACAACCTAGTATATAACATATGGTCAGCCCTCTGGTATCCACTGATTCTGATCTGCCAAGTCAACCAATTCTGGGTAGGAATATTTTTTTAAAAAATTGTGACTTAACGAAAATGTTTTATAGACATTTTTCTTCTCATTATTTCTTAAACGATTTAGATAGCATTTACATTGTATTACATATTATAACTAAAGCATAGGAATGGATATGTACAGGTTATACGCAATTATATGACATCTTATAGATTTTGTTATTGGAGGGAGATTCTGGAACAAAACCCCCATGAATTGAGAAGGATGGTGTTATATAATTCGGTTCTCTCATTGAAGATTTCTTTGTAATCTTTGTCAACTACCCTGTCATTTACATAAAAGGCTTTCAAATGCTGTAATACTGTCATCCTTTGTCCTCAGTATTGTTAAGCAAGAAAAAGACAATACAACTCCTAGAGGCACAAGGACATGAATGATCTTAACAAGCAAACAATTACAATTCAGAATGGATTTTGCTGTTGCTTTGGTGCTAGGGAAATGAATTGGTGATCCAGAATGGAACCCAGAGATGCTCTACCAGCAGAGGTACACTCCTTTCTTTTTTATTTTGAGGTAGGGTCTCACTAAGCTGCCCAGCCTACCCCTGAACTTACAAGTCTATACTACAAAGCCAGGCCCCAGAATGGCTTTTAATTGTAGTTAACTCTATAGTCTATATGAGTAACTTGTAACTTAAAATTTATCAGTTCTGTATTAAGAGGAAACTTAACTACACTCCTCTGAAATAGACTGTGAATCCAAAGAACAAATCCAGTCCCTGACAATTTACACCTGAACAACACTGCTATAAACCCAGAAACTTTATAGGCATCGAGGATACTTGATAATATGTTGGAAAAAGGATACAATTATCCACTTATTCAAAGAAGGAAAACAGAAAAGGCTATAAATTGTAGAATACACAGCTTTGAAATCTAACAAAAATCACACATCATAGTGTCATAAACTTAACAGAAAAAAAAAAAGGAGAAAGGAATTAGCAATGACATTTGCTTAGCATCAGCTATTCTGAAAGACTCATCTATCTTACTAAGGGGACGTGCAAACAAGCGGGGGCACATGCAAAGCAGGGTGGGGCAGGCTGGTCTGTCTTCCACAGGTTTTTCAGTAGACTCTCATGATGCACACAGTGAAAGCAAAGGGAAACTTGGGGAGGTTGTCATCAAGTTCCCCAACTCATTTGGTAAGGGACTGCAGAAACATCTTGTAGGGCTTCAACACAGGACTAGAGAGAAAAATGGATTTCAATACTTTTATCTCGTACGTACTCTTGCATAATTTTTGGACCAGAGAACTGGTCTGAAAAATGAACAGATTCAATCTTGTCAGCATAGTGTGTAAGAAAGTGAACCATCTGAAAAAAGAAAATAAAATTATTTTTTTAAGTTAGGATTGATACATTTTGCTTTTCTTATAAAGCTACTCATCCTTCAACCCTCTCTTTTACATAAAACCAAAATGTTTAAAAGTTAAGTAAGATAAGAAATCTCTCTGAAGTGAAACTAGTATAGCAAGTCCCCAACTAATGAATGAGTTCCGTTCTGGGAGAACACTGGTTAAGTCAAATTAGGCTGTAAGTCCAACAAAGTGACTCTTACACACCTTTGACACAAATATTCAGGGCAAAGCATAAAAAACAAAAACACTGTAAATGAACTATTTTACTTTTCCAGTTACCCTAAAATGGCACAGTAGACATGTGCTACTTTCACATTTACGAGCGTTTGTAATGCAAAGTCCACTCGTATCTGTGGAAGTTCACAACTCCAATCTTTGTGTTACTTGGTCCTGTTTTGGTTTTTCCCTTTGGTTTTTTGAGTCAAATTCTTGATATATTGTCCATGCCGGCCTTGAATTCACTGTGTAGCTGAGGCTCACCTCAAACTCACAGTAATCCTGCTGCCTCAGCTTCCCAGGTGCTGGGATCTAGCCACTTGCCCAGCTAATATCCTTCTTATTGAACAGCTGAAAGCACATCTCAAAATAAAAGCATGAAGATAAAATCTAAAATACTTTCAGGGTAAACATGTCTTTGAACTTACTATCCCTTAGTTGGCCTACATTTTTATGTAACTAAGGTATGCTGTTATCACTGCAAGACTAAAAGAAATGGTTCTCAGGGCTGGGATGGTAGCTCAGTGATATAGTGCTTGCCTAGCACATGCAAGGCCCTGGGTTCAACCTCTAGAGCTAAAAAACAAACAACGAAAATGCATGTCCACTTTCTCCCACACTACTTGAGGCTCAAAGATACAGACCAAATGATATGGTGAAAAGGATTAAAGTTGTATTTCTTTTTAAACACCTTGAGCAATTCAATAGCGATTCCAGGAACAATTTGCTCTTGATTTAGCCAGAACTTCTAGACTAACCAAACTGTCCTTTTGACAAGTTAATCTTCCGCTTAAAGGTATTTTAGTATTCGCATAAGAAAGGAAAATGTAACTAGTGTATTGACATAATACAGTTTGACTTTTAGGGAGAGGGTCTCCTCAGCGCCAGTCTGGCAGATGCAAGTCTTCTGCTGCCTTTACCTTTGTGTCCATCATTCCCTCTGTGACTTCTCCCATCTCTGACAGGATGGCCAAAGAGTCTGGCAGTCCGTATTTTGCTCCAGACTTAGGTTTATCACTACAAAATTCACTCTAGAGGAAAAGGAAGTTGGAGATTACACGTTACATAATATTTTATTAGACACAAGTAGTTTTTTCCCAGAATATGTACTGACCCATTTCAAAACAGCGTTTAACTGACATGATTAACTGTCCTATGCTATGAAGCTGGACATCTAGGAAATAAAGAGACACAGTTTCCAACACGTTTGAGTTGCAACAATTTAACATACCAGATCCTGCATCTCCTTCTGTAGTCGCACCAAAGCCTTTCGCGTGCCAACAGCAAATACATATGTATCCATGTCTTCATCATTCATGGTTACTTTTATTTGCTTAAAAAAAAGAAACAAAAAGCTTATTTGTTGGCTTCTGTGGTAGGCAGATTTCAAATAGCCCTTAAGATTCCTCCTCCTTCCCTTGAGGGGGATTTGTAAATAGGACAGGCTCTCAACCCCACACTTACACTGTGGTAAGGGAGAAGGTTCTGTATGGGGAGGGTACGGGGAGAAACTGACGATGTGGTTCCCGTTTGACAGGTAGTAGAAGTTAGTGGGGACCTACAACCATAAGGAACTGAATTCCGCTAACAGCCTGAATGACCCTGAGAAAAGGACCTCAAGAAGGAAACCAGAGTCTGGCTAACACCTTAATTTCCGCCTGTTAAGATCCTGAACAAGCCGGCCACAGTGGTGCATGCCTGTAATCTCACATTCTGGGAGGCTGAGGCAGGGGTATACGAAGTTTGAGCCCAACCAAGACAACTTAGTGAAACTCTCTTTCAAAAAAGGGCTGGGAATGTAGCTCTGTAAATGCCCTGGGTTCAAGCTACAGCATGCAAAAAAAAAAAAAAAAAAGGAAAAAAAGTCCTGAGCAGACTCTAGCTGGCTAACTTATCATCTGGATTAGTTATACTGAAACTGTGAGCTAATAATAAATGGGTGTTACGCTGCTAAATTTGTGATAATTTGTCACACAGTAATAGAACACTATGCATATTGGAGTATTTGAGTAAAAAAAAACCAGGAAAGAACAAGATCCAAACTGGACACTGTGGTATAAGAAACAGATTTGATTTTTGTCTCGGGTTTCTGCCACAGAACTCCCAAGACCTTAGAACTTCCTGAATAAGTGTCTTTTGTTGTTGATAACTAACCTCTTTCAATCACAACTGAGTTTACACTAAGGCAGTGACTTAAGATGCTCCCTATAGTCTCAGGAATGGGGCTGGAGAGAAAAATCAATGCTTCGAGGGCCAAGCATTAAATTCTACTCAGGACCTCCGAGAACAAGAAAGAGGATGAAGACTGTACTCCAGGAAAAGTCTTACCATGATTCAGGGGGGTTTCAAGTGGGTGAACTCAACCTGCTGGAAGTATGGCGTGCTCGAGGGGCATGAGGAAACTGCGCACCACCCCTCCCGTATTTCACGCGAAGTCTCTTTTATCTGACTATCTCTGAGTTAGGTCTTTTTTTAGAGGAGAAGTTTATTTTGGCTCACTGAGTTGCATCATTAATAATAAGCCAGTAAACGTACACCGCCCCCCCCCCAGTTCTGTGAGTCACTGTAACAAACTAGTGAATCTAAAGAAGAGAGTGGGAACCCTCAATTTATATTCAGTCAGTCAAAAGTGTATGTATGTGGCCTGAGATTTATGACTGCCTCTGAGATAGCAGCATTTTGTGGGTTGAGACCTTCGACTTACGGGATATGAAGCTAACTCCAGGGAGCCGGTATCAGAACTGGACTGAAATGAATCGCTGGACACCCAGCTGGCATCCAGAGAATCCAAGTATCGATTGTTGGCGTTAAAACCACTCTCAGGCAGGTAAACAATTATACTGTACATTGGGCCGGAGAGATAACGTTGTATCTAAAGAGTCTGATCTAATAAAGAATGGCCATGTTTTCATATTCATTATATTTTTTAAATGTTTGGGTCAAATAATTATCAGGATGTAGAGGAAGTAAAATGTCAATTTAAGGAAAGACCTGGCAAATGGCAGGTATAAATGTTCTGTTCTTCCAGCATTAATGAGATATTACACAAAGCAACATCTTAAATAGAATCCAGCAAAAAATAAAAAAGCAAATAAACATAAAGAACCATGTGTATATATTGAAGCTATTTCTCTTCTAAGAGAGAGAAAAGAATAGCTGGCCCATTGGAAAAGATTAAATCTACTCAAAGAGAGAATGGAAAATGATTAAAGCACTAAAGAAAACTTTCTTTTTCTTTCTTTCTTTTTTTTCTGTCTTTTTGAGACAGGGTTTCACTATGCAGTTCAGGCTGGTCTTGAGCTCACTTTGTAGTCCCGGCTGGCCTCGAACTCGCAACGATTCTCCTGCCTCAGCCTCCCGAGTGCTGGGATTAGAGGCATGCACCACCCTCATCTGTGTACTTTTGTTTCTTGTAGCAGCAGGAAGCAACAGTTATTTACTGAAAGAACGAAGGAACTGGGCACGGTGGCAAAGTTTGAGCCCAGCCTGAGCAACTTAGTGATGTGGCCAGACTTGTCTCAAAATTTCAAACATTAATAAATAACAAAGGCTAAGGATGTAGCTCGGTGTGAAGACCTCAATACTAACAAGGAAAAGAAAAAAAAAAGACAAAGGGAGAGGAATGATAAAGGCATTTCTGATGAAGGGTACAATTTTCAGGTTAACATATTAATTTAGTAAAGGAAAGAAGGTACACCCAACAGTAAAGCAAACTCTTTCAACTAAAATTATTTATTCAAAGCAAAAACTATTTGGAAAACAACTCACCTTTGTGCCAAAGATAGAAACACACGCAGGAGCAAAGCTGGATTTGAGGGCAAACTATCTGTGACAACTTTTTTTCCTCTATCAAGCCTAATTCAGTTGACTTATATGGTGACAGTATTATTTTTTTTCCAGCCAAAAGGCACACGAAGGCCTCCTGATAATTGTGAACTGAGTGGAAAATTACCTTTCTAAATAGAAAAGCATCCATTTTTTGATAGGGGACACAAGTTGCCAGACACTCTAAACACAATCTAGGCAGGAATACATTCAGTGTATGTACAAAGGGCAGCAAAAGGATCACATACCACTTGATCACTCACTGGCCTCATCATCCGAGCTAGAACATTCAGTAAGTCTTGTCTCTTGAGGAACTAAAAAAATGAGAAGTTAACACAGTTGCAACTTCTACTTATTATAAGGGTCTCGGATAGGGAGTCACGTACTTTATCAATATCCTCTACAACACATTTGCCATGAGAATATAGCATTTAGAACGCATTCCAAATATGGGGGCATAGCTCAGCAGCACAGCACCTGCCTGGCAAGCACAACATTCTGAGTTTGATTCCCAGTACAAAAAAAAAAAAAACCTAATTAAAATCAAACATGGGATGAAACACTAAATTTAGAGGACTAGAACTCACATTGAAAAAAAAAAAAAATCACAGGAATATATATATACATATATATATATATAATTGGATCAGGTACTTCCTACTTACTCTCAGCTGGATAAGCATGCCCTCACAGCACACTCGACCAGAACACCACAGGTTATAGATGTGCTCATTCTCCTGGTTCAGCTTTCCTGTGCTGGTGGCTTCTTTGTTAGTTCCATCATCCCCTAGGGGTGAAATGCGATTCACTCAAAATCCAGGGGCATAATCACACCGTCCTCTATCCTTATCACAGCATTGAAATAGCAGTACTTTGCTCAGTACAGCACCTCTTCTGGATAGGGATGAGTAGTTTGGCTCTGTTCCTTTACTCCATCACTATCATTACGCTAGTTTACGCCAGGAGTTCTACATTCACTCCTCAATAAATACGGTGCATTTCTCATACGCTTCTTCACTCACTAGTTATGAAGGGTCACTCAGTGTCATCTTGGTCAGCTTAGCACCCTCATAACATGACAAGTCCTAAATTTTCTGTTAAGAGCTTCACTAATTTCAAATACTTCTGCTGACAGAGTACAAGAGATTTCATTAACAGCTTTTTTACTCTCCAGAACATCAAACATATGTTATTTTTTCAATTTTCTACTAACTTCAGGAAGACTAAAGATCTCCTAAAGTTTTCTGGGGAAGACTTTCACTGTGCCCATACCCTTTCTCTGTTACCCATTCATGTTTCTCTGTGAATTTATAGCGCGAGAGCAGAGCAGATGGCATCCATCCTCAACTATCAGAATGTCGCAGGTACCGTGGCTTTGGGCAGGCTCCTCTTCTGCTAGGCCATGTGTGCTAGGAGACCAAGCGCTGCCATCTAGGCTGGAGGAAGTGGGGCTTCCCTTTTACTCGCTTCCCACAGGCTACGCAAGTGCTCTACTGCTAAGCTACAACCCCAGACCTTTTTAAGATTTATGTTAAAATGTGGTCTTGCTAAATTGACCAGAGTGGCCCTCAACTTGCAATCCTCTTTGCCTCTGCCTTCCCAGTAAAGGGGATTACAGGCATGTGCCACCATGCCCGGCTCAGAGTCCATTATTTTTTTTAATATGCAAAGAAAAGAGATTTATTTAGCTCACAATTTTGGAAGCACAAAGTCCCTGATCAGACAGCCCCAGTGTCTGGCCTCTGGTGGGGCTTCATGGCCCCTGGCATCGCAGTGGCAGGAGTGTGGAACAGGGCAAGACCGAGCCGGAGGGGAGCCGGCTCCCCCACCAGTTTTTATTAGTGCACACTGATTACACAGATGAACGCGTTTTATTCGGGCAGATGTCTGCCTGCACATAGTTTCATCTTTTCCCTTATCACTCTCCTCACTCCCCCCAGTACCATATGTTTTGAGGAGAGTTTCAATGTATATAATGTATTTTAATCATATTCATGCCTGCTGAGTCCATCATTTTTATTTTTTTATTTTTTGGTTTTTTTTAGTCCATCATTTTTAATGGAGACAATAAAGAATTTTAAAAGTAAGCCAGGTACAATTGCGAGCACTTATAATCCCAGCTACTTTGGAGGATAAGGCAGGAGGATTTCAAGTTCATGGCCAGCTTGGACAATTTAGTGAAACTCTGTCTCAACATAAAAAATGTAAAAAAGGGTTGTAGCTCAGCAACTCCCTGGATTCAATCACAGGTACCACAAAAAACAAAACTAAAAAAATAAATTATGGGCTGGGTATGGTAGAGCACGTCTATAATCCCAGCACGTGGGAGGCTGAGGCAGGAGGACTGCCACAAGTTTGAGGCTAGCCTGGGTTACATGCAAAGACACTATCTCAAAAAAACACCAAAAAAAGCAGCGGGTGAGGCAGGGTCGGGTAGGGGGACTCTGGTACTACAAGGAAATGAGCAAGGAGAAAGCCAACAGTCAAAGGCTGCTTATTTTCCTTTTCTAATTTCCTGGTCAAAAAGAACTGTGAACTGTATGGTACAAAAGAGAGGACTAGAGAGAGCACGAACTTTGGAAACAGGTAGACAGGCTGTAGTATCATGCAATCCAACAGCTTAGACAGGTCGTAACATCGCTGTTCTTCAGATCCCACGTTAAGAAAACAGGTAAATCTAACAAGCGAGAGTACTATTACAAAGAGTAAATATAAAAAACATATGCAAAATACCTAGCGCAATATATAGACTAATAAAAAGCACAGCACATAGATTCCCACTTGCTGCTGCAGACAGATAAAGTGCTAACTGCCACACAGAGGTAAATGTGAGGGCCCTCACTCCCTACACTACATACCCACAGATGTTCCTCGAAATACTTCAATAGACACCTCGTTAGTGGATCCAACACTAAAAAGTTCAGAATTTGAGGAAATCGCAAGGAACTTTCAATTTCTATAAGGTAAATTGAAAGAAAACATTCATCAAGCTACCTAAAATATCAAAGTTCCTTTATTTCAACCAGAACTTTATCAACTTGTTTTGCTAACACTGATTTTTATTTTTATTTATTTGAGACAAGGCCTCGTTATGTAGTTCCAGGCAGGGCTCAAATTTGCAGTGATCTTACTGCCTCAGCCTTCCAACTACTGGGATTACAGCTGTGCGCTACTATATGCAGCAACACTGATTTTATCAAAAGCTTTCTAGCAATTATACTGATGGTAAGTGAACCATCAGGAAGTTATTAAATAATTCACTCAGTATATACAACCTAATAAAAATAGGATCCTTAAGAGGAAAAAAAAGCGTATTTTTCTGCAGTCCATAAAGTAGCTAGCTGCTTGTGCAGAGGGGAATGAACTCTTCTTACTAGATGAAGAACAAGTAGGCAGCTCATCTCATATTGGCCTTAACTTACCTACTAAGGTGAAGTTGCTCTCCAAAAGCTCCCGATGAGTGTTAAACCAGGCCTGAGCAAGGCGGCTGTTTTTATTCTTCCCAATGATATAGTTCATAATATAGGCGAGCAGACCAGTCACCATCAAAATTTCTAGATAATAACTCTCCCAACTGTTTTGGAGGTGGGCAGGAACCTAAAGAGATGAAATTATTCTATTTAATGTTGGCTAAGGCTGAACAACTAAGATAAAAATGAGAAACCCACAGAAAAAGGTATAACTGTCAATGGATATAATTTTATTTTGAAAAATATGCCCATTTTGTTTTTCCAGATCAGCACTATAAAAGATTCTTTAAGGAAATATAAAGACAGTCAAATGGGATGAAAAAGTGGCAAACCCTTTGTATTTAACTTGGTTCTGAGTCCCACCCCAAACTATATCCAATGTACATCTATTTACTGCTTTCCTTTTTTTCCTTTGTTTTCTGTTTTTTGTTTGTTTGTTTGTTTGTTTCTTTGAGACAGGGTCTTGCTATGTAGCCCAGGGTGGCCTCCAGCTCCCAGTGATCCTCCTGCCTCAGCCTCCCATGTGGTAGGATTATAGGAGAAAATTGTGATCACCTCAGTGGTGATCAACTGTTGTGGAGATTCAGTAACAGAATCTTCCACAACATCCTCAAACTCTGCAAAGTCATTATCACCTTATTTTTTTCAAATTCACCTTATTTCTTGATGAGTAAAACTAGAAAGACTAGAATAAAACATAAGAGCTGCTTCTCTAGATGTGAATGTATATCAGAAGAACTCTTTACCAGTTCCTGCTATGATATTACAACAATACCACCCCAAATGTCACTAAGTATATTTCTGGGACTAGTGACAAAAAGATACTTCACTGGTTAGTTTGGAATTCACCATCCTGAATACCTACATCAACAATTGTTATCGGGTCCTTATTTTTGCTGGACGAAGTATCTGGTTTGTCTTCGTAACCTTCAAATTCTTCGTCATCATATGGCTCACTCTCAGTATCTCCCTCCTACAAAAATGAGGCACAATCTGTTTTCCTCTATAAATGCTACCAGCAATTGTGTCTTATTTTGTGGGCAACGTTTGTAAAGGAAAGCAGAACTTACAAGCAGCAAGCACAGAACACAGAGATATTATGTGAGTTTAACAAAATATCAAAGAATCCAAATTTCAGTTATATATTCTGGTACCTAATATACAGTATTATACAGTGATAACAGTTAACAAGGTACTGTACATTTAATACTTGCTAAGAAATTAGAAGTTAACAGGGCTGGAGATTTAGCTCAGCGGCACAGCACCTGCCTGGCAAGCACAAGGTCGTGAGTTCGACACCCAGTATGGGGAAGAAAACAAAAAAAAAAACAAACAACAACAACAAAAAAATTAGAAGTTAACTATTCCCACTACACACATAGAAATAGGAAACAATGTGATAAATATGTTAATAATTTCACCATATACACACATATCCAGACACCATATTCTACAACTTAAAAATATTAACGTTCATTTGTTACTTGTACTTCACAAACTGAAAAACACAAAAGTGAGGCTGACTCCTCAGACCGCTGAACCCAAAGCTCTAAATGACAGTTCTCACCTTCACACAGTAACTATTCCTCAGTCCTTCCCCCAGCAACCGGCTCAATCCCAAAGAGAAATAAAATTTACTCTATCGATGTAAAAAGTGCGATTATACCATAAAACATTTAGAAGAACTCTACCTACTGAGGAAGAACAAACATTCCAGAGAATCAAGTTTCCTAAGAGGTGGGTTTGGGGGAAACACTGGTTACAAATGTTGCCATCCTTTGCATTTCTCAGGAAATCAATAAGAGAGAGCCCCACCTGGGTGTCTGCATCTTCAAAATCTCCTTCTTGATTTTCATCCTGCCCTTCCAACTCCACTGTGGTCTCATCTTCATCATCCTCAGTGGTGATCAACTGTTGTGGAGATTCAGTAACAGAATCTTCCACAACATCCTCAAACTCTGCAAAGTCATTATCATCATACTCCACGATGTCGTCCTCATCTTCAAAGTCATCAAACTTGGCTTCAGAGACACTTCCAAACACCAAGAAGACAATACACAGCGCATGGAAGGCTTTCATCTCACCTTAAAAATTAGCTTAAAAATGAGAGAAAAGAGTCCTAAAGTGAATTGCCATTCTACACACAGGATGACCAGATTTTATAAACAGTTTCAAAGTAAAAATCCATAAATCCACCAGTTGTGGTGGTGCACACTTATAATCCCAGCCCTGGGAAGGCTGAGGCAGGAGGATTGCTGAAAGTTTGAGGCCAGAATGGGCTACAAAGTGAAATCAAGGACAGCCTGAACTACGAAGTAAAACTCTAACTCAAACACCTCCCCAAATCTACCACCATCTTTTAAATATGTAACTTTTATTACTTACGGGTTCAATAATCATCAAGGGCTAACCAATTCCTACAAAGTAATATAAGAACTCTCTGACTTTTACTTTGTATACCATGATCCTATTACATCAACTCTACCTTCACTAAGCATATCACTATGGTAGATCCTAGACCAAAAAAATAGAACATGATTCCTGCCAGGCATGGTGACACTATGACAAAATGACACTATCAGATTTGCAATTTAATCTTAACTTATACAAGGAATAAATCCAAGAACAGTACATGAGGCAGGAAAAATAGGAAGAGTCTGAGATAACTGATAAAATAATATTTAATTGGCAGTGGTGGAAATGAAGAGGAAAACTGACTAGACATATATTTAAGAATTGTATTTGTTGGGCTGGGGATATAGCTGAGCAGCACAGCGCCTGCCTGGCATGTACGAGGTTGTGACTTTGATTCCCAGTACAAAAAAAAAAAAAAAAAAGGAATTATATTTGTTTGTCAACACAGAATAAACATACAGGGAACACGTGGGGAAGATCTGCAGTGATTCCAAGTTTATGTCGTTTATTTTTGGAGAGGAGATCTTGCTATGTATTTTGGGCTGGCCTTGAACTCACTATGCAGACCAGGCTGGTGATCTTCTGCGTCAGCCTCCCAAGGTGCTGGGATTAGAGGTATGCACCATGCCTGGCTCCAAGTTTCATTAAAATAAATAACTGGAAAAAGTCACTTTTATTGAGATAAACAATAAGGAGGAAAACAGTAAAGCAAAGGTCATTCAATTTGGTACTCACTAAATATTTTGAGGTGTTTCAAGCAGTATGCTAAAAGACTAAGATATTTCAATTTTCACAATACACCAAAATGGTGTTACAACACATTTTATAGAGGAAGAAAAATAGCTGGAAATACAAAATGTTTAGGAATCAGGCTTGAGGGGGAAAGAAAGATGGTGTAGGCATAGACAAGATCACCCAGGAAATATTAAGAACCACGTCAGAGAGAAAGAGAGACACAGAAGAACCAAGCCGCAGCAAAATCTTGAAACAAATCATAACGACTAAGATGTAGGCACATATTTCCTACGTCCTGCAATATCCACAAAGAAGGTACTCAATAAATATTAACTCCCTTTCTTCTGGCCTACCTTATGAAGATTTCTAAGAATTAGAAGCTACTATTTTAAAGGAAAAGCTCCCTTTTCACAACCAGGCTTAAACTTTCTCAAGCAGAAGCAACTAAAAGTTTACCCGAGACAGCCAACGTGCTTAACAGAGTGTCAAAAGGTCTGGAATTTCTCTTTGGAATGTTCGTACCACAGAGGCATTTCTACTATAACTCAGCACTGTTACAAAGCTCTTTCAAGGTTATTTAGGCTCAAATTATCCAAGCACTTTGCGCACTGGCTTTCCTGCATCTGTTAACCCATTTCTCGTATGCACAACTCCTTGCCATGTCACCCAGCCTCTGCGGCTCTTGAAATTGGCAAAACTGAACGGAGGCAAGGCACGAGCACTATCTTTTTTTTTTTTTTTTTTTTTTTTTTCAAATTCACCTTGTAGTCTCTCAACTGACCCTGGACTGGAAAGAGGAATAACTGGAACGCTCATTCTTTGTTGTCAATTCAGATTAGGCCTAACCAAAACATGAGATGTCTAGGATCATATAGGCATTCCTGTTTCCTTAAAAACATCAGTTAAAGCCGGGCGTGGTGGCGCACGCCTGTAATCCCAGCACTCGGGAGGCTGAGGCAGGAGGATCGCTGCGAGTTCAAGGCCAGTCTGGCTACAAAGTGAGCTCAAGGCCAGCCTGAACTGCATAGCAAGACCCGAAACCCTCAGAACAGGCTGACTACGGAAGTCGTTTCTGTCAAACCACCCGTGTCCTGCCGCTCTCCACCACGAAGAATCCATTCATCCTAACGTCTAACGTTCCATTTTCCTGCTGCACACTGGAAATTTCCTCTAAGTTTGTCTTTCCGGTTGGCATTTGCTCACAGCTCTGCAGAGATCCCGAAAAGCACCAAAAATTACCCCGCCTCCCGAAAGACCAACCGTAATGGGCTAGAAAAGGGTGGACAGAGGGTGAAAAAGCGTTTTTAAACCAAGTCGGGAGAGATGAGAAGTCGCGGCGATCGGCGCACGTCCTCACCGGCCAAACTTACGGGTTGCTCGGGACGAAAACGGGACCGGGCTACGGGCCACGCAACTGAATCCCCACTCGGCCCGGAGCGCCCGACCGACTAACGCATCACGGCCCTCCACCAACCTGCACCCGAGGCTAGAATCCGGGCGGCCCTCCTGCGGCGGGTACCTGCACTTCGCCTGCCTCTCAGCCCGACCGCTGCCTTCGTCTTAGCGGCGGTCTCTCCAACCGCGACACCGACGGCGCAGGTAGCCCAGGCACGCCGCCCCACTCTTCACGTAGCCCCCACCGTCCGTTACGTAGAATGCGTACGGCTCGTCCGCGCCTGCGCGCGACGAGGAGCGCAGGTCGCAGAATCCAGGACAGCGCGAGACTTCTTCCGCCGTCGCGCCGCGGCCGCAGAGGCGAGGTGAGGCGCCTGGGAAAATTACATAATCCCCGCCCCTGGGCGCGAAACGTCCTCGGTAATGACAGATTTCTCCATTAGGGTTGAGTGAGGCTGACGTCACACTGAACTGGTGATCCGGAAGTTAAAGGTGGCCATGTTCTGTGCGACCATGTGGTCTGAGGGAAACGGAGAAATGTTGCCTAAGTCGTCTTTGCAGGGGACTAGAGATAAGGGGATTGGCATTTTTATGTAAATACGATTTCCGGCCAGTTTTTATTCTCTTGGGGATTTGGGGCGGCTCCCTGTCACCGCCACTTCTTCGAGGGCCACATCCGCTTTCTGCTGGACCGCACACACTTTGCGCCCAGCAGCAGCTTCCTGCGGGTGCCTGAGGCGCCCGTGCAGGATTCCGGAATCTTCAGGGCAGCAGCGGGCAGCACCTTCCGGGACCCGTAGCTCCCCCAGGCCCCGCCTTCCGCACGCACGTTCCTCAGTGCGCATGTCAGGTGTGCGTTCCCCTCCCTCCGTCTGCAACTGGCCGAGAGGCGGCGGCGGCGGCGGCGGCGGAACGGCGAAGGGGGCGGAGAGGGCGGAGCGCGGCGGGACGCGGGCCGGACCGCGCGTACTTCTGGCGGTGGGATTCTCGCTGCGACGGTGGTGGTAGCGGCTGCCGCTGCACCGACAGCGGCAGGTTTGTGTGCGAGGGGTCCGGAGGCGGGACTCCTAGCCCTTGGGGTCACTAGAGGCGACCGGGGCCTAGCGAGGGCCGGGCAGCCGCAGCCTTTCTGTAACAAAGAGTCCGCGGAGCCTGCGGGCCTGCGGGCGCGGGAGCCATCGGAGTGCGGGCTGCGGCCCCGAGAGCCTCCGGAGCCGCGGCGCCCTCCCACGGCTCCCGCCTCTCCCAGTTCGCGGCGAGGCCCAGTTGGCGGCTTTCGGAGGCGGCGCCTGCGGGGCTGGGGACGGGATTTGCGGAGCGCCGCGCTCCGGGGCAGAGCCGCCTTGGGGAGGCTGCCGGCCCGGGCGGGCCGCGGTTGGGCGATGCCAGCCCCCAAACGGGGGCCCGTGGGAGCGGACGTTGACAGGTCGGGAAATCAGAGAAGCCGGTCGGGGGTCTTTGTGATTACGCTGTCATAGACCAAACTTTCGCGGCCTACTTTAGAGCCTATCTCGTGTGTGTAAGTAATTGATACGGATTGCAGGCACGCTCACCAAAAACATAAGAACTATCACACGAGTCAGAGTTTGGGGGCTCAGGTAGCGCGTGAATTCGGGGAGCGTTCCCCTCTCGGCCTCCCCTCCTTTAGGCTGTCGTTCAGTTTCCTGTGGCTTCTGTGTCTGTCGTCCCCTGTATTCACGCCCAGGAGCTCCTAAAGGTTAGAGACTTTCTTTATTGAGAGTTTTTAGAGCTCAGCCCAGTTCTGGCAGCTAAGACATGAACAATAATTGTGCAGTACAAAATGTGTAGACTTTCAGCGGTGGGCAAAAAAAAAAAAGTGTGTTTTCCTGTACCCAGGATGGATAGCCTGATGATTAATATATCCAAGGATTACTTGGTTTTTGGTTTTTGGTTTTTCTTCCGGTATCAGGAATCGAACTCGCGACCTTGCGCTTGCCAGGCAGGCGCAGCGGCGCTGAGCTAAATCCCCAGCCCTCCAAGGATTACTTGTATTGGTGCCTGCTATGGTTATTTTCTACCCGCCTTAAGGTATCAGTTATAGGTCTGTGAGTCCTGTTCTTACTAAATTTTATAGTAGGGAGAAAAGAGACGAATTTGTATTATAGGATATGGGAGAAGACCCAACATACCTTAGGAAAAACAGTGCCTTAGGAAAGGAGAAATGGAGGTGGATCTTGGAATTTTTAGTAGAGGGTCAGAGAAATCTTACAAAAGATGAAAGATGGCAAACTGATGTTTAAGCAGACTAGAAGGTGAAGGACTCCTTTTAAGTATCTGGAGTAAAGAAATACCAAGCATAAAAGCCTTGAAGAGGACAAGGGTAGCCTTTTGAAAACAAAAGTAAAGTGCTTGGAGCTCTGAGCAAAGAAGGGAGTAGTAGGAGATAAGGTCAAGGAAGAGCAGGGGGAAGGGATGGGCAAAAAGAACCAGGGCCTTTTAGGCCCTTATAAAGATTTCATCTTGCCTCTGCAGAAGTTAGGAACTGTCTGAGCAGAGGGGCGATAAGATTTAACTTACATGTAATAATGTAGCATAATTCATGGAGGAGTACAGTTCTTCAGATTCATGCTCTATCACAAGGGTAGTTATAATTAGACCTTAGTTTCATTAAACAGAAGAAGGGAATGCTTCTAAAGTAACTATAACCCAGCAGTTAGTTATATTTGGTTTCAGAAAAATGTGATGAGTCTAATTTTTTATATAGATTCTCATTAAAGAACTAATTAGTGTGTGAGATATTCTTAGAGCAGATTAGTAGACAGGTGATACTAATCAACTGTGTACTGTAACTCAATTCTTTTTCAGAAATTCAGGTGCTAAAGTAATGTAGTTTATCTAATTAGTTCTTTAGTTCACTATTTTAAAAGTCATATCTTAGTTCCTATCTTATTTTTCACTGTTACTCAAAACAAACTCCAGGCACTTTTGTTTTGTTTTGTTTTTTGAGACAGGGTCTTGCTGTGTAGTTCAGGCTGGCCTTGAGCTCACTTTGTAGCCCATGCAGGTCTCACACTGGCAATGATCCTCCTGCCTCAGCCTTCTGAGTGCTGGGATTACAAGGCAAGCACCACCACACCCGCCCAGCTAGAGACACTTCTTGTACATTATGGAGTATTTGCTAGTTACAGATTTCAGTAAAAGAGACATTTTAAAAAGATGCGGAGGCATTGTACTGGGGGTTGAACTCAGCCTTTACACTGAGCTACATTCCCAGCCATTTTTCATTTTGAGAAAAGGTCTCACCAAGTTCCCCAGGCAGGGCTCAAACTTAGGATCCTCCTGCCTCAGCCTTTCAGAGTTCTGGGATTGCAGGCATGTACCACCATGCCTGGCTAAAGGGAATATTTTTAAAAGAAACAAAATGAAATTGGGCCAGGGTTATAGTTCAGCAGCACAGTGCCTGCCTGGCAAGCACAAGGTCTTGAGTTCGATTCCTGGTACCTTAAAGAAAATGAAATCGAATTTTCACAAATACGTTTTCATTTCATAGTAGAGACTACACCTCCATAAGTTGGACAAAATAACAAAAATACATGTGCAAATGGAATTTCTAATTATTTAATTTTCACAATGTTGGCTTTTTTTTTTAATGGTGCTACTGGATATTCAACCCAAGGCCTTCTTACTTCTCCTCAGTACCCCCTTTTTTCCCCTTTATTTTGAGACAGGGTCTCACGGAGTTGTCCAGGCTGGGCTGCAACTTGCAGTCCTTCTGCCTCAGCCTCCCAGATTGCAGGGATTGCAAACATGTGCCACTGCACCCAGTTTATTTATTTGTTTTTAACTTTAAAATGCACATTGAAAATATAACCGTTTTAGAGCTGCTCATGGTGATGCAGTCCTGTAATCCTATCACTTGGGAGAATGAACCAGGATTGCCAGACCAGCCTGGACTATGTAGTGAGACCCTATCTCAAAAAAAAAAAAAAAAAAATTTACCATCTTAAAGGGTACAGTTCAGTGGTATTAAGTATATCCACATTGTTTTGCTACCATCACTACTATCCAGCCTCAACTATTTTTAGATGGGAAAACTGATGCTTACCTATTAAACAATAACATCCCATTTACTCCTATCTCTCATCACCTGCTGCAATCCCCTTTCTACTTTATGTCTTTGAATTTGACTATTGTGGATACTTCATATAAATGGAATCGTATTTTTTTGTGACTGGCTTATTTTAACATATTGTCTTCAAGATTCATCTGTTACAGCATGTATCAGAATTTTGTTTTTTCTTTTTTTCCTGTGGTGCTGGGAATCAAACCTAGGGCCTCACACATGCTAGGCAAGTGCTGTACCACTGAACTATGCCCCCTAGCATTTTTTTCTTAAGGACACATTCTGTCTGTTCATCTATCAGTGGACACTAGAGTTGCGTCTACCTTTTGGCTATTGCGAATAATGCTGCTATGAATATGGTTAAACAAACCATATGATCAGGTCCCTCATTTTGATTCTTGTGGGTATATACAGAAGTGAAGTTGGTATATCATATATTCTGTTTAATCTTTTGAAGAACCTCTATATTGTTTTACCTTTTATATTTCTCCCAGCAATGTAAGAGGTTCTTTTTGCAAATGTTTGCCAACACTGAATATTATTTGTTGTGGAAAGTTACATTTAGAATTGCCCAGATGAGTCCCAGTTTTGTTGGCAACATCCGAAGCATCATAATCAAGAGAAGCCAATAAGGCTTGCTTGCTCTCCATTAAGTCTTTCCAGAGTGTTGGCCTTGGCCACATCACTGTCTTACAGAGTGTCTTCAGAGCTGTGCTAGCCACAGTGAACACAAGTGTGTTTGCTTCCATTTCCACGGCACATTCAGTGGTCAGGGGCAGCTTGATAGCAGTGGTCAAGCGCGTTTCTTATGGGAATGCTCTGTCAAGGGTACCTTGAAGGGGTTCTGCAGAGCCCCAGTGTCTTGTACAGGCAGAAGGTGGTACAAGGTACAGATCTCTCTTTGTGTGTGGCTGTAGCAACCTTTTCTGGCTTTCAGAACTTTTACTTTTGCTTCAGTCTTTCAGATTATCCTGGTGAAAAGCTATTTTGTGTGGTTTTGTTGTTATGTTGTGGTTTTGTTTTTATAATAGCTGTTTAATAGATGTGAGGTGTGGCTTCGATTTCCATTTTCCTAGTTATAAATGATATTGAACATGTTTTCTTGTGCTGGTTGGACATTTTCTTTGAAAAAATGTCTGTTCAAATCCTTTACCTATTTTTTAATTGGATCTGGGGGGGGTCATTAAATGAAATCTGTAAAGTTTACTTGGGTATAGCAAGCTGTATGGTAAATATATGCCAGGGAGCTGCTGAGTACTTGCCTATTTATGGTTCAGTAGGAAAAATAATGATGCACTGAGGATGAACTGGCTTATTTTTAATCAGGAAGGGCAACTGGTTAGATTATAAGATTTGAAATGATGGAAGGTAATGGTTTTCACAAACACTGGAATGAGTTTTAGAGAGCCTGGGTGCATATTTATTCACTGAAAACTTTTGAGTACTGCACATACACTGTGCACTAAGAATGCACTACTACTCTATCTTTACAGAGATGGAGAAATCGTTTTTGTTGTACTAAAGATTGAAATCAGGGCCCCATGCTTGTTCTCTACCACTGAGCTTTTTTTTTTTTTTTTTTTTGACGACTGCGCTTTAAAAAAATTTTTTTTTGTTTTGCTTTGGAGACAGAGTCTTACTAAGTTTCCCAGGCTGACCTCCAATTTTTGATCCTCCTGCCTGAGCCTCTGAGTCACTGGGATTGTAGGTATATGCCATCGTGCCTGGCCTTTTAAAAAATGTTAAGTTAGGGTCTTGTTCAGTTACCTAAGCTAGCCTCTAGTTTATGATTCTCTTGCCTTAGCGTCCCAAGCAGCTGGGATTACAGGATGGGCCACCACATCCAGCATGAAGATCACATTCTCAGGCTGGGCGTGGTGGCGCATGCCTGTAATCCCAGCACTCGGGAGGCTGAGGCAGGAGGATCTTTGGGAGTTCAAGACCAGCTGGG